AAGCTTTTGTTTTGTTCTGTTTGAGCTTGTGTCGTCTGGTTGGTAAGTTATGAATGTGTTTTAATGATTTAAGTTCTCGAAAATTAACCATGTTTTATTTTGGTAATACCAAAGGTTCATTAAAGGTAAACCTTTTTTTTTTTTTTTTTTTTTTTGGTACAATTGACTATCATTTATCACACAAATATCATAGTTAAATTATGGTTTATGTTACAAGACCATGGTTAATTTGTGGTTACCATGGAATAGGCTAATGTTTTTTTGTTGTTTTGTTTTTGTTTGTTTTTTTGTTTGTTTGTTTTTTTCGTTTTTCAGACATATGTTTCAGACATACAGACAAAAGTAGGCTAATTTTATTAATTCGTTTTGGAGTGTGTGTGGTGGGTAAACTATAACTTACCAAAACAATGTTTATCTGACACTAAAAATTGACAACTTTGAAATAAATTTAAATCAATGTTAAATATATATATATTTTTGTTTCAATAGGCATTCAGCTAATTTAAGGTGGTTTGTTAACATTTAATTTTCTCAGTATGAAAACTAAATTAGTCTATGAACTACCAATGACTTTAACTTGACAACTGAATTAGATTGAATCAGCTGAGTGAGTGTTTTTGTGTTTCACTTCTGTTACTCAAAAACGTGTGCTGAAGAAATATCACGTGACACTTGAAAAGAAGAATTGATTGTGTCCATTAATGAGGAACAAATAATTTCATAGCCACCTAAAAAAGCTTGACTGTCGGTGTACGAGTTTTGCAGTTTTGAACATGCTCATCAACAGCACAGACCTTGTATAAATGATATTTATTGAACATGGGAATGTATTTTAGACTGTAAGAGGCCTCAGAGCCTCAATTTGTGTCTATATGTTATTAAAGACATAAATAAAAGTTTTTTATTTACCTCAGTTTTGTATTTATTTTTCATATATACCTCAACTTATTGTGTCATTTTATATATTTGTGATGGTAAAAATTGTTAAATCCTTGTAGATATCATTCTTGGTGACAAAATATATTTCTATTTAATTTTTTTCCAGATGTGACAGAGTCAGTGAACTCAGTGTCGGTGATGGAGGGAGATTCTGTCACTCTAAACACTGATGTCACTGAAACACAGAAATATTTGCTGATACAGTGGACGATCGGAAGCACAAGAATCGCTGAATTTAACAAACTCACACAAACCAGCTCTACCTTTGATAGTAAATTCAGAGACAGACTGACTCTGGATCTAACCGGATCTCTGACCATCACAAACACCAGAAACACAGACTCCGGACTTTACAAACTAACAATAGTCGGCGACGAAACCGAATACAAGAATTTCAATGTTACTGTCAATGGTGAGTTGACCGTTATGGCGTAATTTACACTAACCCTCATTTGAAACAAATTGTAAAAAATTAATATTCCTTAAATCCACATTTTATGATATTGTCTTCATCGAAGTGTGACTTCATAGTCATCTGTCATTAACAGAATCTCCACGGAGTACTTCATCATCAGAAACATCATCAAGCTCAAATTTTGTGACGTCCAGCTTTGTGGTGAACAATCAAACGGAGAATGACTACAACACTGAACTCCATAAACCAAGTTCAGGTACATCACTGATGATATTAGTGTTTATTTCCAGAGCAGAACTCTGTTAGATGTGTGTTCAGGTTAATCAGTGTGAGATTACTTTTTCTCTCTGAAATCACGTTAGTTCATAAGTGGCCTGATTAAAGTCAAAACCCAACACATATTTATTAGTGTAGTACATGTCATTCACATTTCTGCTGTTGATTGGCCTATAATCGACTGCAAACTTATTAAAAATTGCCTTTATGCATTTGGCAGATGCTTTTACCCAAAGTGAATTTACATTGCATTGAAGGATTTTGTTTGATAAGCTCACACTCTAAAAAATGCTGGGTTGTTTTAACCCAATTTTGGGTAAAATATGGACAAACCCAGGCATTGGGTTAAATTTTAAAATGAAATTTTTAACCCAATGGCTGGGTTTGTCCATATTTTACCTAAAATTGGGTTAAAAAAAACCCAAAATATGGACAAACCCAGGCATTGGGTTAAATTTTAAAATGAAATTTTTAACCCAATGGCTGGGTTTGTCCATATTTTGGGTTGTTTAACCCAATTTTGGGTAAAATATGGACAAACCCAGGCATTGGGTTGAATTTTTAAAATGACATTTTTAACCCAATGGCTGGGTTTGTCCATATTTTGGGTTGTTTTAACCCAATTTTAGGTAAAATATGGACAAACCCAAGTATTGGGTTAAATTTTAAAATTACACTTTTAACCCAATGCCTGGGTTTGTTCATATTTTACCCAAAATTGGGTTAAAACGACCCAGCATTTTTAGAGTGCATGCATGTATTCCCTGTGATTTTACAATTTTAGTTAATTTTTTTTTATTATTATTATTTTTTTTTTTTACAGAATTGCATTTACAGGGACAATAATCTATAATGGATATTGGGGGTTTGAAGCATTTGCTTGCTTTCTTTTTCGGAGTTTACAGGAATGGAGAACAGATTGTAGACAAGCGTCAGGGAAGTGTTGCGTGAATCTAAGAGCTGGCGAAGGGGGGTTGCAAACATTGTCATCCTATACTGGAACTCCTAACCCTTACGAAAAGAAAACATATTTCCCATACATGAATGATCAATACGGTTCAAATGGTTAATGGTATATTTGAAAATATACAGAATAGTATATACTTATATATTATATATATATATACTACACAATATAATATAAGATATTGTCACTTTTCATACATTGAAAAATATGCCAATAACATTATATTTGCTAGTATATCACAATTTATGTAATTGTATATTCAGTAATTAATGGTTTAACGGTACATTTGAAAATATAGAAATTAGTATATTGTGTCAATATATTAGAATATATTGAAGAATACAAAAGGAATTGCCACTATTCATATATAGAAAAATATGTTACAATAGCATTTTGTTTACTAATATATCTTAACATATTTAATTTTATATTCAGTAATACACTTCAAAATATATAGATGTATATGTGATCAGATATGATTCTGCAAGTTTAATATATTGCAGATATACAGTTTGTAATCATGCAACATAATCACAATTTTATATAGAGACATATTTAATGTTATATATTTCTTAATTTTTTTAAATGATCTACGTGATACATTTTTCATATTTTCAACCTAGTTATCAATAGCACAAACATGGATGCATGTATTGAAGTATTTAGCTAAGGAACTATCACTAAACTGAGGAGTACACAGTCATTACTTATGCAATAATTTATTTACATTTACGATAATGTTTGGACACTCTTCAGCACAATGGTAACCCCAAAAACTCAGACATTCCAGAAAACATTTTAAATATTAATAAACAAATAAAAAATAGAGCATTAAACACTAATAGATCTCCCCCTATATTAATATTGAGCAAAACACATTAAATAACACTTTTTTTAACATTTGCTCTCCTTTAACAGTCAGAAGCAAAGCATGCTGGGAACTATAAATCTGTTGTAACTCATTCCTTGAATTATGTGTGTGTGTTTAAATGTGTGTGTGAACTATTCACATTTATATTGTATGTACATGTATGTACACAAATATTTCATATTCATTATTATATAGCCATACATTGCAGTATATTGAAAAATATAGAGCAGGTTTCACATATATCGAAATTATGTATTATGTAATATATGGCATTATCTTCAGACTGAATGCAAGTTTCTGATTCTGTGTTTACGTTTTTCAGATCCCATCCACTGTTGTGGTTTTACTGAAGCTGTGATCCGATTGGTCGTCTCTGCACTGGTGGGCGTGGCTACTGTTGCTGTTCTGGTTTATGACATCAGATCTACGAGAAGAGAGCTGATCAGAAAAAGATGGATTGAACATTACCATCAGACTTCTGTGGCGTCATACCATCAGTATGAAATGTGCAGAGCACTTAGTTCTGGAGATGATTGATGCACATTTGATGCACATTTTTGGTGAATTTATTTAATAAAGAATTTTTTTTTTTTTTACAATCTTGTTTTTTGTTATATCTAGTACGATTATAATGTCATGAGCATGATCATATTTTACAACTGCTAAATGGTATAAATAGCAGTTGTGTGGATATGTGGTCCACTGATTTCACGTGATAAACTTGCTGGTAAGTTTGCGAGTGTAAGTGAAACTTGCTGTGGTCTCAATTGTTTACATCTTTACAGGAGGGCATTTGTAGGCTGTAAATTCGAAAGCAAAGAAGGGGAACCTCAGACCGCCTGTGTTTCACTCGTAGACGAAATATGCTGTGACTGACTCCATAACCTGTCCGTAAACAGTCTGTGTATTCTGAGAACTTATTTTAAATTATAAATTAATTATGCAAGGCATCAGTCGTTTCCATCAAGCGAAAAGACCACACATTTAGGTGACACATCATGCCCCTGTTTGTTGCTTTGCATAAAATGAAACAATCCTACAGAACAATAATACTCTCTCCTGAAGACGTCACAAAAAGCAGCTATATTAATAAAAAAAGAAAGTCTAATAGCGAAATGTGTGTATTTGAGGTGGTTTTTTATACTTAGAATGCCCATTTGGAATTATGACATTTTTATAAATGACTTGTAAATCTTTTGAAACAAACCAAAACCAACAAATAAGTAGGCTACATGTGACAAATGTGGACACTCAGAAACAATTCTAAAATGCATGTGAAAGAGAAATACTTCAGCAATACCAAACAGTTAATGTAATTAAAAGACAATCAGGAGTAGGCCTGAGAAATGTTTCGATAATGAAGAGAGAAAAAGTGAGAAAGAAAAAAAGATTTTATATATATATATATATATAGAAAATAAAAGCGTTCTATCTGTTTTCTCTCTCTCACACTTTTCCTCTCTCTTTTCACACTCCAGACCAGCGGGTGGCGGAACGGCTCTCTTTAAGTTGGTTTCACAAACCGGCAGAAACAGAAGAAGAGGAGACGTGCTCTGAGCAACAGCTGATTCAAAACAAAAGATTTTCAAAGTATTTGAAACTTCACGAATCATTTTTAAAAGATCATTATTTACATGTGAAGAGATGGACTCAGACCAGCAGGAAGAACAGAAACCTGTAAAAATTGAGTTTATTGAAGATTACAGTGAGAACAGGAGTGATCCAGATGAAGAACCCCTCAGAGTGAAGCTTGAAGACACTGAACAACAGATAGGTTGGTGTTTATTTTTGATTTTTCATTAATTATGCTCTGAACAATTAAAGTTATACAACTTAAGCATTTATTTAATGATTAGTCAGTAAACATTTCGATTCGTCATACAGGTATAAATTATCATAATTGTTTAGTTTTTAATCACGATTTAATTACGATTCACTTTTGAATTTTGGTTATTTTGCAAGTTACTGAGCATTACAGCATAATATCCCTATTTTAAAAACAAAGCCTTACAAATTCACAACGTATAAAATAATAAAGGATGGCAGACATTTAGGCCAAAGTCAAATCATTATTTTTTGTAATTAAAAAAGCACTAAAGTACTAAGGGAGAGGAAGCAAAATTTCTGTGAGGTTGTCCAAATTAGTCATTCAACAAGAAATGTATGCTACTATTATTGTTCTCATTTAATAAAATATTGGTACACAATATTACACTAGGCCTATAGCATTATATTCAGGGCTCGCCAATAATGACTGCCCGATGGCACTGGGCCAGCATGAACAACAATAGAGCAAATGTTAAAAAATATATTGGTGATTCACTGGAAATTAAAACTTCTTAACCTTCATTTCAGACCTGATTGTAGAGATTAAGGAGAGTGAAGAACTGGATGAAGCGGAGGAGGAACATTGTGTCAAAACTGAAGAAAAATCTTTTGAAAATTGTTGCTCACAGACTGGAAGTAAACTTGTGCCGAGGAGACCGATCAAAAATTTCACTTGCTCTGAGTGTGGAAAAAACTTCCCATACAAACAAAGTCTTAAACATCACATGACAGTTCATAGCGGAGAGAAGCAGCACACATGTGATCAGTGTGGGAAGAGTTTCACAAAAAATGGATACCTTAAAGATCACATGAAAGTTCACACTGGAGAGAAACCACACACATGTGATCAATGCGGGAAGAGTTTCACATTAAAATATCTCCTTAACAGACACATGAAAATCCACACCGGAGAGAGGCACACATGTGATCAGTGCGGGAAGAGTTTCACAGTGAAATATCTCCTTAACAGACACATGAAAATCCATACTGGGGAGAAACCACACACGTGTGATCAGTGTGGAAAGAGTTTCACACTAAAAGGAGACCTTAATAATCACATGAAAATCCACACCGGAGAGAAGCCGTACACATGTGATCAGTGCGGGAACAGTTTTGCCCACAAATTTCACCTAAAGAGACACAAGATAAGCCACACTGAAGAGAAACCGTACACATGTGATCAGTGCGGGAAGAGTTACACAATAAAAGCAACCCTTAAAGATCACATGACAATCCACACCGGAGAGAAGCCGTACATATGTGATCAGTGCGGGAAGAGTTTCAGATTGGCAAGTTCTCTGAGATTTCATCTGCGTTTTCATTCGGGAGAAAAACCATTTAACTGTAATCAGTGCGGTAAAAAATTTACTTTGGCAGGTTCCCTGAAGGATCACCTCCGCGTTCATTCAAAGGAGAAGCCTCACGTGTGTTCTTTGTGTGGAGAGCAATTTTCATGGCTGAATTGTTTAAAAGTACACAAGATAAGACACAGTGGTGTGAAGAATCATGTGTGCTTGCTTTGTGGAAAAACATATTTTACAGAGGGTGAACTGAAGCAGCACCAGAAGGGAAGCTGCATGCACAAAAAACTCCTTCTGCGTCCCAATCCGCATAATAATCGTCCTAAATAGTATTCAAAAATAGAATAAGTACGTGTGTTGAAATGAGTGTTGGAAAGAGACCCGGTTGGTCTACTATATCCGGTGTGCAGATCGATGCACACTATAATGGCTGATATTGCCCACAACCCATCGCGCGTTGGACAAGGATTTGGTTGGAACTACAAACACGAATGAAAAGTGTTTTAAAAAAAAAAAAAAAAAAAAAAACTACTACAAATATGGAGGACGCGCGAGTCAGGCGGTTGTGTATAGAGGTTTAGATAAAGGTTGTTTAAGTGATTATCATTATCTAAACTGACTAAAATGTATTTATTTAATGTTGGCTGCGTTATATTGCATCTGTGAACTTTTGTAAAGATATGTTTAGATTTAAAACAAGATTAAATGCAATATATTTTCTCACATGTATTAACTCGTTATTTCATCTGACTCCATAAATGAAAAAGTTTTTAATGATGTCTGTGTATCATTAAACGTGAACAAATATTTGATTATTCCTTTAAACTCTGATCATATTTTACCCGCTTCGATCAGGAAACTACATCGCTTTGAGTTCCTCGCGAGGTCTCCGGCATAATCTGGCTTGTTCCGATTATCAAAACAGAGGTAATTGGTTAAATATCTGGGATTTGTTATATACAATCGAAGAAATGTACATAGCCCCCTTGAATGCCTCCTCGGGAACTTAATTGAATCGTTTTACTTTAGTAGAGGTCTTGATCACCATTAAAAGATGTTAGTCGATCTACTCTACTCTCTAGGTGTTGGGAAGGACTGAAAGAGAAAAATGTTATATACAATGTGGCGAAGTGCCACCAAGAAAAAGATAATAATACAAACGCCCATTGTGCAAAAGGATAATAATACGAATGCTAATTCATACTTTGCAGTCACGTGACTATCATGGATGCCTAACGGGAAACAAACGGGTATTTTCAACGTATATATATATATATATTTAAATGCATTTACTGCATAAATGCTTCTGGTCCACTTTGACTTCCATAATATATACATACATACATACATACATATATATATATATATATATATACATATACATATAATAAACACACCCTAAGCATTCACAGTGCTAGCATAGGTGAACACACACATGCTGAAGTTGACTAAAAAGAGGAATAACAAAAATCTTTTGGAAATTCATCTTAATGCCTTAGTATTACGTCCACTAGGGGTAAGACGCAATAAGTAAAAGAAGACTGGAAAAAAATGTAGATAGCATAGATGTCTACATGGGTTATTTTGCATTATGTATAAGTTCAAGAATTTCTCTTAAAAGGAGAAATTCCTGGCGATGATTCGGGCAGAATCAAAGGCAGCTATAGCTCAGTTTCACAGACAAGGCTAGACTAAGCCAAGATTAGGTCTAAGTTAAATTATGGCATATGAGTAGCTCTTATAACAGGGTGGCTGCGGGTTCTTAGAAAGTATTAAAATGTCTTATATAAAGTTTTCCTAATATAAGAGAGAAAAAAGTGAGAAAAAATATATAAAACTGATCAAATGCTTTAATTTTATTTTTGTTTAAATAAATACATATTTCAAAAATATTACAGGGAGGAAATAAAGCGTTAGATCTGTTTTCTCATTTTCTCTCACACTTGTCCTCTCTCTTCATAAGCTGTATGTGCTCTTTACACTCCAGACCAGCAGGTGGCGGAACGGCTCTCTTTAAGTTGGTTTCACAAACCGGCAGAAACAGAAGAAGAAGAAGAGACGCGCTCTGAACAACCGCTGATTCAAAACAAAAGATTTACTAAATATTTGAACATTCACGAATCATTTTTAAAATATCATTATTTACAAGTGAAGAGATGGAGTCAGACCAGCAGGAAGAACAGAAACCTGTAAAAATTGAGTTTAGTGAAGATTACAGTGAGAATCCTGTGAAAACGGAGTCTATTGATAATTACAATGAGGAACCTATAAAAATTGAGTTAATTGAAGATTACAGTGAGAATCCTGTAAAAATGGAGTTTATTGAAGATTACAGCGAGAAACCTGTAAAAATTGAGTTTAGTGAAGATTACTGTGAGAATCCTATGAAAACGGAGTCTATTGATAATTACAATGAGGAACCTGTAAAAATGGAGTTTATTGAAGATTACAGGGAGAACAGGAGTGATCCTGATGAAGAACCCCTCAGAGTGAAGATTGAAGATAAGGAACAACAGACAGGTTGGTTTTTATTTTGGATTCTTCATGTAATTATGATGCTGTGAACCATTAAATAACAAGGCAAACCCATTTCTGTTAAAAGCATGTTATTTTTTCTTCAGTTTATGAACTCAAACTTTTACTTATGTAGTGTTGATATGTGTTAAGGCCCATTTACAACAAGAATGCAAACTCATATAACTATTGTAACAACCGAGACAAGACAATCAGACATAACTATGTGTTGCATTTCACAAATAAGCTTTAAAGCCTACAGTTAGTAATTAAAAACACCCCCACAACAGAGACAAGAGAGCAGAAATGGCCTCAGTCTCCGGGGGCAAAAAAAAAAAAAAAAAACAGGCATAGGACAGAGACACATAGCCTGACCACGTCAGACTTCCTACTTCCATTAATTTAATTTCGCTCAAAGTGAAGTGGCAGAGTCTGGTATTACCAGGATAAGAGAAACAGACCTTAAAACAGAATTTCCTGGATTAATTTGTAGATGAGCTGCTCTATAAATGAACGTACATTCCACGACATTGTGTGTGATATTGTTATTGCTTGTATAGTGTTTCTATGAAACGCGCAATGGCAAAAATATCATATCATATGATTTTTTATTTTTTAAAGAAAATCACAATTTTGTCACGATTCACGATTACTGTTTTGCAAGTGACCAAGCATTACATAATAGCATTATTTTCAGAGCTCGACAATAATGACTAACCGAAGGCACTAGGCCAGCAGACTGATCTCATGAAGTAGTGTGTGTATGACACGCCAATTCGTATTTCCATTTTTGGGTTGCTATCAAGACGCATGCTCTTTAGCGTGTTTATGAACGCCGTTGACTTAACGTTATATAAATATATGACTTACCTCAACCCCGTCCCTAAACCTAACCTCCACTGGGGTTAATGGCATTTATGACTGGACATTTGACGGCGTGTACAGACATGTGGAATAACGCGGACGTTAATGGCGTAGACATACATGCATACACGCGGATAGCTCAAAATGCGTAGAGATAACACGCCACTTGACTCGAAAGTGGCGTGTATGTTTACGCAAAAGTCATGATGACATGTTGCGGCCAGCATTGATAAACGGCAAGGCGCATGTCTAACCACACTTGAGTCATAAATCCTTCCCAACTATTAATTAATTATAACAATTTATGATGTACTATTAATATTCCTTTTGAGCTAAATGATTAAACTACATTAGAGCAAATGTTTAATTTTTTTTTTTAACTTTCGTTTTAGACCCGGCAGTAGAGATTAAGGTGTGTGAAGAACTGGATGAAGCGGAGTACACACAACTGGATGTCAAAACTGAAGAAAACCCTTGGAGTTGCTCACAGACCGAAAGTAAACCTGTACGTAGAAGATCCAGCCAAAATTACACTTGCTCTGAGTGTGGAAAAGGCTTCCGATACCAAAGAAATCTTATAGCTCACATGGCAGTCCATGTTGTAGAGAAGCTGCACACATGTGAACAGTGCGGGAGGAGTTTCCCCAAAAAAGGACAGCTTTCAAAGCACATAAAAAACCACATTGGAGAGAAGCAGCACACATGCGATCTGTGCGGGAAGAGCTTTTCACAAGGATACTTTAAGTTTCACATGAGAATCCACACTGGAGAGAAGCCGTACACATGTGACCAGTGCGGGAAGAGTTTTGCAATAAAAAGAAGCCTTAATTCTCACATGAAAATCCACACCGGAGAGAGGCACACATGTGATCAGTGCGGGAAGAGTTTCTCACAAAAAGGATACCTTAACTATCACATGAAAATCCACACTGTAGAAAAACCTCACACATGTGATCAGTGCGGGAAGAGGTTTCCCCAAAAATCCACCCTAAACAAACACAAGAAAATCCACACTAGAAAGAAGCCACACAACTGTGATCAATGCGAAAGGAAGTTCACATTTCTTTCACAGCTTAGGTATCACATGAGAGTCCACACCAGAGTGAAGCCGTACACATGTGATCAGTGCGGGAAGAGTTTCAGGATTAAAAAAAAGCTTATTTATCACATGAAAATCCACACCAGGAAGAGTTTCACACAAAAGGGAGTCACACAGAAATGAAACCACAAAAAAACCTTTGTGAAAAAAACGTTTTACACGACTGAGTGCTTTTAAAGTTCACCAGAAAACACATACCAGTGTGAGAGACATTTGCTAAACTGAAAAAGCAAACAAACAAAGAGTTCACATTGGAGAAAACCCTGTAAAGTGTTCACACTGTGACAAGAGATTTAGGGATCGAACTAGAGATTTAAATCACACTAGAGTTCGTTTTCCCCCTTGGTGCGGTTCGTTTGGGCAGGTGTGAAGGCACCAATCACACTCGGGTGCGCACCAAAAGTGGACCAAACAAGATTTCAGACATTACTAGTTCAAATGTAACACAATGTTATCTGCGATTCTGTTCTTCGCCATTTCCACGAGTGTGTTGCGCAAAGGATTTGACGCATTAATCCATAACATGCCATGTAAAACTTCTAAAATTATGGTTTCTAAAAAAAACTTCTAAAAAACTTTTTTCCTAGAAGAACAATATCAAAGAAGTTAGCCTATATTCAAAAAAGTTGTTTTCTTACATGTACAAAATGTTTGTGTTTAAGTGCCTACAAAGCTGATATTTCTCTGAGATTTTATTAAATTGTTTTTTATTGTTGTGTTAAGAATAGTTTCTAGTTTCTTTATTCATCAAATGCATGTAAGAGAAACGATCGTGTATGGATGCTTCTATGATTCTCTCCTTGTCTTGCACCCTTTACGTCAATAAAGTTCAATATCTCATTCCTTTTCACTTTTATTTAGGTTTTATATTCGTTCAAGTAATCATTGAATAAACTTGTTACTCATTTTATAAACCACTTTTTTATCATAAGACAAGAAAAAGTATTATAATTGTGGAAAGTTTTGTATTCCTCCAAGAAATTTGCGCTTTTGGTCCCCTTTATAAACTTTGCATTCCCGAATCCTTTTTAAATCCTTTTTTTTTCACTCCTTTGCTGCTACATGTGACAAATGTGGACACCCAGAAACAACAAAGCTTCTAAAATGCATGTGAAAGAGAAAGAATATATAACGGGAAGAAAATAAAAGCATTTGATATGTTTACTAATTTTCTCTCTCACTTTTCCTCTCTCTTCATTATCCCTCACAGTCAGCTGTGTGTGCTCTTCCCACTCCAGACCAGCGGGTGGCGGAACGGCTCTCTTTAAGTTGGTTTCACAAACCGGCAGAAACAGAAGAAGAGGAGACGCGCTCTGAACAACCGCTGATTCAAAACAAAAGATTTATAAAGTATTTGAACATTCACGAATCATTTTTAAAATATCATTATTTATAAGTGAAGAGATGGAGTCAGAACAGCAGGAAGAACAGAAACCTGTAAAAACGGAGTTTATTGAAGATTACAGTGAGAATCCTGTAAAAATGGAGTTTACTGAAGATTACAGTGAGAAACCTGTAAAAATGGAGTTTATTGAAGATTCCAGTGAGAACAGGAGTGATCCTGATGAAGAACCCCTCAGAGTGAAAATTGAAGATAAGGAACAACAGACAGGTTGGTTTTTATGTTGGATACTTCATGTATGATGCTGTGAACCATTAAATAACAAGGAAAACCATTTCTGTTAAAAGCATGTTATTTTTTCTTCAGTTTTTGAACTCAAACTTTTACTTGTATAGTGTTAATATGTTTAGGCTCGTTCAATCACAACAAGAATGCTAACTCATATAACTATTGTAACAACTGAGACAATCAGACATATCTATTTGTTGCATTTCACAAATAAGCTTTAAAGCCTACATTTAGTAACGTTAATTGAAAAATGCCAAAGTGGCGGGCAAAAAATCATTCTTTTTTGTAATTAAAAAAGCAACTTCACATCATGACTTTAGCTTAAACATAGACGCCACGTTCAAGTCAAGTGGTGTGTTATATCTATACACATTTTGAGCTATCCGTGTGTATGTCTACGCCGTTAAATGTCCGCGTGTATGTACACGCCGTTAAATGTCCGAGCGAAACGAAGCAAAATGTAGATCTACATCTGGTGAGCGGTATTTTTTCCTAGGATGGTAGGGGAAGACTCATAAATGCTATTAACCCCAGTGACGGGTAGGTTTAGGGACGGAGTTGGGGTAGGTCATTTATTTATACAGTAATGTAACGTTAACTCAACGGCGTTCATAAACACGCTGAAAAGTGATTATGCGTGTTGATAGCACGCCAAAAATGGAAATATGAATTGGCGTATCATACATACGCCATTTCAGTGAACGTTGTCAAAAATGGTCATTCAACAAGAAATCATTGTTACTATTCTGTTCTTCTAATTAAATAAAAATGGAATATAACAGAAAATTACAATTTATTACATGGCTTGGTAGAATTTCAATGTAGAACGCGGTCTGTTATTTCTTGATAAGTAATAACACATGTAAAACAGAGCATTGCCAAGGACGCAGTTCAGACACGGAACGGACTATTTTCTTTAGCGGAAGCAATACAATTGTTTTTAAATAAATAAGTCAATAATTTGAGTGAAATTATTGATTTATTTGGTACGTAGCCATGTAATAAGCGGGATAATGTATAGCGCGGCAGTTGATTAATCAATATTTAATTTATACAGTGAAGACTATGCAGTGTTTTATTACATTTGATAGCGTATACAACCCCTTCAGGCTGGTATTTGTTATCGCTATACACTATCCCTTAAATAGCATTATTTTCAGGGCTCGACAATAATGACTAACCGAAGGCACTAGGCCAGCATGAATAAACGGCAAGGCGCATGTCTAACCACACTTGAGTCATAAATCCCAACTATGAATTAATTATAACAATTTATGATGTACTATTAATATTCCTTTTGAGCTAAATGATTAAACTACATTAGAGCAAATGTTTAATTTTTTTTTAACTTTCGTTTTAGACCCGGCAGTAGAGATTAAGGTGTGTGAAGAACTGGATGAAGCGGAGTACACACAACTGGATGTCAAAACTGAAGAAAACCCTTGGAGTTGCTCACAGACCGAAAGTAAACCTGTACGTAGAAGATCCAACCAAAATTACACTTGCTCTGAGTGTGGAAAAGGCTTCCGAAACAAAAGAAATCTTAAAGCTCACATGGCAGTCCATGTTGTAGAGAAGCTGCACACATGTGAACAGTGCGGGAGGACTTTCCCCAAAAGATTATTCCTTTTAAATCACTTAAAAAGCCACATTGGAGAGAAGCAGCACACATGCGATCTGTGCGGGAAGACCTTTTCACAAGGATACCTGAAGTTTCACATGAGAAACCACACTGGAGAGAAGCCGCACACATGTGATCAATGCGGGAAGAGTTTTGCAATCAAAAGAACCCTTAATGCTCACATGAAACTCCACACCGGAGAGAGGCACACATGTGATCAGTGCGGGAAGAGTTTCTCACAAAAAGGATACCTTAAATATCACATGAAAATCCACACTGTAAAAAAGCCACACACATGTGATCAGTGCGGGAAGAGTTACACCCTTAAAGAAGCACTTATGAGACACATTGAAAGCCACGTTAAAGAGAGGCCTTATAAATGTGATCAGTGTGGGAGGTGTTACATATGTGAGGAAAGACTTCAAGACCACATGAAAGCTCATAATGGAGATAAGCCGCACACATGTGATCAATGTGGGAAGAGTTTTCCCCGAAAATCCACCCTAAACAGACACAAGAAAATCCACACTGGAGAGAAGCCACACACATGTGATCAGTGCGAAAGGAAGTTCACATTTCTTTCACAGCTTAGGTATCACATGAGAGTCCACACCAGAGTGAAGCCGTACACATGTGATCAGTGCGGGAAGAGTTTCAGGATTAAAAAAAAGCTTATTTATCACATGAAAATCCACACGAACAAATGTGATCAGTGCGGGAAGAGATTCTCACTAAAACGAGTCCTTAATAAGCACTTGAAAGTCCACACAGAAATGAAGCCACATGCGTATGATCAGAGTGGGAAGAGTTACACACTAAAAGGAGGCCACATCGGAGAGAAGCCGTACACATGTGATGAATGTGGGAAGAGTTTCAGATTCAGATGTTCATTGAGAGTACATCTGCGTTATCATGCTGGAGAAAAACCATTTAACTGTAATCAGTGCGGTAAAAAATTTATTTTGGCAGGTTCCCTGAAGAATCACATGCACGCTCATTCAAAGGAGAAGCCTCACGTGTGTTTTTGTGGAAAGGCATTTTCATGGCCGCATGGTTTAAGAGTACACCAGAAAAAACACATTAATGTGAAGAATCAAGTGTGCTTGCTTTGTGGAAAAACCTATTTTACAGAGGGTGAACTGAAGCAGCACCAGAAGGGAAGCTGCACACAAAAAAGTGTCATGAAATCGCACACATGCTATCAATGCAGGAAGAGTTTCAGAAGTGTTCGAGCTTTGAAATTGCATCTGTGTTCTCATTCTGGAGAAAGAAAGAAGCACGCAATGTTGATACAAAGGGGAAGGCTTACACGTGTTCTGCTTGTGAAAAACGTTTTACACGACTGAGCGCTTTTAAAGTACACAAGAAAACGCATATCAGTGTGAAAGACGTTTGCTAAACTGAAAACACAAACAAGCAAAGAGTTCACATTGGAGAAAAACCTTTAAAGTGTTCACACTGTGACAAGCTGCCTCATTTACGTCTGTTGAATCGCACTAGAGTTCGTTTTCCCCCTTGGTGCGGTTCTTTTAGGCAGGTGTGAAGGCACCAATCACACTCGGGTGCGCACCAAAATCGAACTAAACAAACGTACCGAGACGTCCTTGAAGAAAAATGCAAACAAAGTATAAATTTGAACCGAACTACAGATGTGACAGCACCCTTAGTCCACCTGGACAACTGAAAATAGAGAAGAGCATCCGCATCGAAAAGATGACATTTCACTGTCATTCATTTGAAAAAAAAAAAATGAGCTTCGCTTCGCTATTTAACTTCTGGACTGAACAGGAACTATGATTTCAGACATTATTAGTTCAATGTAACACAATGTTATGGCGATTCTGTTCTTCGCCATTTCCACAAGTGTGTTGCGCAAAGGATTTGACGCATTAATCCATAACATGCCATGTAAAACTTCTAAATTTTTAAGACTAATGGTTTCAAGTTTTTCCCAGAAGAACAATATCAAAGAAGTTATATTCAAAAAAGTAGTTTTCTTACATTTACAAAATGTTTGTGTGTTCAAGTGCCTACTAAGAGATTTTATTAAATTGTTAAGAATATCTAGTTTCTATATTCACCAAATGCATATGTAAGAGAAACGATCGTGTATAGCTTTGTAACTGGATGCTTTTATGATTGTCTCCTTGTCTTGCAAAGTCAATAAAGTTAAATATCTCTTTCATTTTCACTTTTATTTAGTTTTTTGTTCAAGTAATCTTTGACTAAACCTGTTACTCCGTTTTATAAACAGCTTTTTTATCATAAGACAATAAAAAGTATTATAATTGAGGAAGGTTTTGTATTCTTCCAAGAAATTTGCACTTTTGGTCCCCTTTATAAACTTTGCATTCCCGAATCCTTTTTAAATCTTTTTTTTTCACGCCTTTGCGACAAATGTGACAAATGTGGACACCCAGAAACAATAAAGCTTCTAAAATGCATGTGAAAGAGAAATACTTCAGCAATACCAAACAGTTAATGGAATTAAAAGACAGTCAGGTGTAGGCTGTATATAACAGGAAGAAAATAAAAGCATTTGATAGGTTTACTAATTTTCTCTCTCACTTTTCCTCTCTCTTCATTATCCCCTCAGTCAGCTGTGTGTGCTCTTCACACTCCAGACCAGCGGGTGGCGGAACCGCACTCTTTAAGTTGGTTTCACAAACCGGCAGAAACAGAAGAAGAGCAGACGCGCTCTGAGTCTGAACAACCGCTGATTCAAAACAAAAGATTTATAAAGTATTCAAAACTTCACGAGTTAGTTTTAAAAGCTCATTATTTACAAGTGAAGAGATGGATTCAGGCCAGCAGGAAGAACAGAAACCTGTAAAAATGGAGTTTATTTAAGATTACAGTGAGAACAGGTGATCCTGAAGAAGAACCCCTCAGAGTGAAGCTTGAAGAGACTGAAGAACAGACAGGTTGGTGTTATTCTCGATTCTTCATTAATGATGCTGTGAAACTTTAAAATTAGAAAACTTTAACAGTTATTTAATGGTTAGTCAGTCAATGTAACATCTATTTGTCATACCTAGATAAAGGTAAAGATTCATAAGGAATTTTACCAAAGGTAAAGATGTTAACAAATGTTAAAACTGCTTTAGTACCAAAGTACAGGTATTTTAAGTTAATGGCACAGTTGATTGTATCTGAGTGTTGGTTTGCTGAAGTGCTGTTATTTAGCAGTTTAGCACCCCCCCCCCTCCCCCCTTTTTTTATTATTATTCCAAAACAAAACACTGAGACATTAAAAAAATGCATAAATGCTTTGTATAAATAATCAGTAAAGCATAATATTTTGTAATACATTTATAAATAAATCCAATTTAATCTTTACTCGATTATAATTCTGGTAGCGCACAACATTCTGAATATGGCTCCAACACAGGTCTAATTAATTATGAAATTAATTATGAAATTTATATTAACCACAGAAAAGGAATCAACATTTTATTTTCCTGATCGCGTGCATGGTGTGACAATTAATAAGCCTGCATTTCATTTATTTTTCTTTTTTTTCCCTCGAAGATTTAGCTCAAACCGGTAGCGCAAGTGGCTCGTGACAGAACATAACGACGTACGACACTTTATATAACAGAAAATCTCTGACTGGTGTTTAAATCAGTGAAATCTGTCAACCGTAATAAGCATGAACGCTCATAAAACAGTGTAGCCTAATGTGTGGTTTCCTCCTTTATTCGACAAAAATAAGTGGTTTTGTTCAAGTTTTTTTTTTAAACACATCAATCTCGTCTTTTTTGTCAACGATATTGCATGTCTTTAAAGTCACAGACAGTTATCCTTAATGACATGTCGTCTCTCATCGTTTTGTTTTAGTCAGGGGGTCAGACCTCAGTTTTAGCTTTTGAGGCTTTCGCTGATCTATATAACGTCATTCTATATAGATCAGTGGATCTTATACTTTTTGATACTGCACAGCATGACATCCACATGTCAATCCTCAACGTTACTTGGCAACCAGTAATGGGAACGCCTCCTGGCGAACCAACTCTCAAGGCACTGACTGGCAACATGCAGAGACAAAAGTGAACAAAATATATTGTCAGATAGTTAATTGAGTGAGTTGTTCGGTAAACGGCTTGGGAATGTTTAACGCTTTTGTTTTGTTCTGTTTGCCCTTGTGTCGTCTGGTTGGTAAGTTATTGATGCGTTTTTGAAGACTTCACTTGTCGTAATTTTAGAAATAATTAGGCCTATCTGTTTAAAAATCAGTCAGGATTGTTTTTATGTTGTTGTTCCAATAATAAAAAGGAGGTTGCAGTTTCTCATCACTTTAATATCTTTACAAAAGCAATTTTATTCATTAGTTTAGGAGGGTGAGCAATTTTGTTGAAGGAAAGCTACTAGAAATGTAGTAGCTACACTGATAAAAATGATTTTGTGGTCAAGTAAATACTACAGAAAAAAACAATTTAATTTACATGAAAAAAAAAATAAGTAAATTCTATAGTAGAACTCAATTAAATCGTGTAGAAATGAAAGCGTAAATATCAACATTATAAAATTAAGTAAAATTACTCAACTTTTCTGATACTGGTGTTCCCATCATGCACTGGGCCATGACTAATGAGGTTGATTTTTCACTGTTTTCCAGCTGTATTTACACCATTTTATCATTACTTTTGTTGTTAGGATTAGCAATTTGCCATTTTGTGACATTTGGAGTTCATTTTCTACTTAAAATGACACATTCAAACACAAAAACGATCTATCAAATGTTACCGTCATTGTGTATTGTCTACCAAGTATTGAGGTCTGCATTCACACGTGCGAAAATCAAAAGTGAAGACATGATGAGACACACTGCAAGTAATGATTTCCTAAACAGTGTGGTCTAATTCAATGTTATATTGTATGAGCGAAATGTTGTATTAAGAAAAATTCAATTAAATAGAAAAGATATTACTTAATCTGTAATTAGCTAAATAAAAATTACTTAATTTATTATGTTACTTTCACTTAACTTAGTTAAGTATAGTTTACTCAATTATATGTGTGAAATTTACTCAAAAAATATCAGTGCAAAAACTTGCCTTGAAAAAATTAAGTAAATTTTACTTATTGTTTTTTACAGCGTAGGCTAGGCGACATAAACAAAGTTTATTAAAATTTACAACTTCGAAAGAAATTGAAATCAGTGTTATATGACATGTTTTCAACATTCATTTAATTTAAGGTGCTTTGTAACATTTCTTAACATAATATTTATTTTTCTCATGCAAATTATATTAATCCATGATCCAGTCATTAAATATACTGTAACTTGAATAACATTAAATCACCAGATCCACAGATGAGTGTTTTAATGTTTCACTTCTGTTGCACAAAAACGAGTGCTGAAAAAAAATCACGTGACACTTGAAAAGAAGAATTGATTGTGTCCATTAATGAGGAACAAATCATTTCAGAACCATCCAAAACATCCTGACTGTCATATATGAGTTGCAGTCTTGTAAATTCTCTTATTATATAATCAACAGACTAGACCTGGATAAATAAGATATTTCTTCTACATAAATATGTATTAAAGATTGGGTTTCATTTATGTCACAAGCACAATCTGTCTGTTAGTCTGTTTGTTTCTTCTTTTTTTCTTTTGCAACTTTTTGTAATTCATTGAACAAGCCTTTAGTCTGTGACAAATATATATTTCTTGTTTGTTTTCCAGATGTGACCGATGCAGTGAAGTCAGTGTCAGTGAATGAGGGAGATTCTGTCACTCTAAACACTGATGTCACTGAAACACAGCAATATTTGATGATACAGTGGACGTTCGGCAGCACAAGAATCGCTGAATTTAACAGGCTCACACAAACTAGCTCTAAGTATGATGAGAGATTCAGAGACAGACTGACTCTGGATCAAACCGGATCTCTGACCATCACAAACATCACAACCTCAGACTCTGGATTTTATCAACTAACACTTGTCAGTGGAGAGACCAAATACAAGGGTTTCAATGTTACTGTCAATGGTGAGTTGACAATTATTGACCATTCTTCATTTGAAATATATCTTTGTCATTGTAATATTTCTTTCATCCTCATTTTATGATATTGACTGCTTTAATTAAGATCAGAAGTGTGAGATGAGCCTGACATCACAGTTATCTGTCATTATCAGTGACTCCACAATATTTTTCATCATCAGAAAGATCATCAAGCTCCAATTGTGTGCCGTCCAGCTTTATGGTGAACGATTCAAACGTCAACCAGACTGAGGATGACAACAACACTGAACTCTATCAGCCAAATTCAGGTACATCACTGACGATATTAGTGTTTATTTACAGAGCAGAACTCTGTTAGACGTGTGTTATTAAATCAGAGTGATATTAGTTTTTCACTCTGAAATCCACTGTTAGTTCATAGTGGCCTGTTTAAAGGCCAATTTATACTTCTGCGTAGGGTGCGCGCAGTAGGTACAGCGTAGCATACGCACAGACGCGTCCCAAACCGCGAACCCTTCTCCGATGCCTGACGCGCACCTCCTCAAAAATGTAACTACACGTCACGACGACGCGGACCGCAAGATCGGTGATTGGTCGGCTTGGTAGCATCGCATTTCCTCCCACGCATTTCCGCACGTACCATCTCCTCCGACGTCTTCTCTCATTTCTGCCTTTCAGTTTTAGCAATTTCACTAAAATTAACTGTTTTTCCACCTCAATAAGCTCCAACTCCAACATGATCCGCTCTCTTTCAGTCCCTATTGCTTGTAGTAACCTAGCCGCGAGGAATCTAAACACAGTGGAACATTAAAACCCTCCGCCACCAACTAGTGTTTCGGAGCAGTACTGCAGAGCAACCAAGACCTGAACGCAGATGTATAAATGCTCATGACGGCGTCACCTACGTGCGTAGCCAACGCCGTATACTACGGCGTACCCTCGACGCAGAAGTATAAATTGGCCTTAATGGAGCTAGTAGTCGCTGTGCAGGTAAACCTCACTCCCCTGATCTCAAAAAGCACACTAGCGATTGATGCTAGGCTGCGGTCTTTTGCCTCCCATGCCGTAGACCACCGTTTGAATCCCACTCGGAGCTGGTCAGACTAGTTTAACCTGATTAAATGAACACATTCATTGCAATGATGCAGTACATTGGTGTTAATTCATAAAACATCTGCTGCGCACCATATAATCAACTGCATAACACAATCAAAATGCAACATTTACATTGCATTTATGCATTTGCCAGCTTTTATCCAAAGTGGCATACATTGCATTATGGTTTTACATTCGATCAGTTCATGCATTCCCAGGGATTTATGGTTTATGGCTAGGGCTGGTAGTATGTGCGTGCGTGTAAGCGTCCCAACACAGATAGATAGAAAATATGTGTAAATGATCCAAAGTGTACCTATGTGTCAGATTTGATGCCAGAAGCACGTGATGCAATATTTTCGACTTGATAATTGCCTCCAAGACCGGTAACACGGTAAATATGATAAGGCACAGAAGCGCATAAACACTTGAGTAGAAAGTTTTTCCGTCTTCGACTGCAAGAACTGGAGTGCATCACAAATGAACCGAAACGGAGCATATTTGTCCCTATAGACATGAGAAATAGGCCTATAGACAGTCAAAATATGTCTACTTTTAAACAAAACAATTGGAAATAAATAGTTACCTAATCCATATAGGCGAGAGCATTCACCACTGCAGGAATGACGAGTCAGCATCGCCATAATCATATTAGCAGCTAGCATGCTTATTAAACACTTGTTCATTAATAAACAATTAAAATATATATTTGCTATTCTTTCCCGACACATCCATAATAATTTGGCTACTTTTGCCAGTGCTTTGCGACAAGCTTCATGTGTGCTGAGCGCGAGGCATAAATCCCGCCCCAATATTATATTGTTAAAACTGGTTACATAAAATTGGTATCGAAAAAAGTATCGTTCAGGAACCGGTATCGAAGTCAAGGTATCTGTATCGAACATTTTGTTATGATACCCGGCCCTATTTAGGGCTCTTGAGGGTGTGGCATTTGCTTGCTTTTCTTTATGTGAGTTTACAGGAATTGAGAACAGGTCACAGAGGAGCGACAGAGAAGTGAATCTCGTGTCCAAGAGCCGTGTTGGGACAGCTCAAGAAAACAATAGGCTACTCTATGAGAAATTAGATCATGAAGAAAGAATCACATAATCACTCAAGTTTCTAGGAGAACTGAGACTAAAGACAGGGAAGCCCTTAATAGAGTAGAATTGCCGATATTGAACAATCCTAGCAATGTTATTTGGCTAAGCAAGGAAACACACACACATAGTAAAACTCACAGATTGATTGTCTTCCCAACACACAAAACCATCATATACGTTTATATGGAAACATTATAGCATTTTTCTTTTCTTTTTCTCAGCCCACATCCACTGTTGTAGTTTCACTGAAACTGTGATCCGATTGGCTCTCTCGGCTCTGGTGGGCGTGGCTGCTGTTGCTGCTCTGGTTTATGACATCAGATCTACAAGAAGAGAGCTAATCAGAGAAAAAGAGACCAGACATCACTGTCAGACTCCTGGAGTTATATCAGACCAACAGTGTGAATTGAGCAGAAGCTTTAGTTCCAGATATGTATAAAGCAGATATAAAGCATACTTACATTGATTCTCGTTCAAACAGTTGTGTGTGGACATGCGATGCACATGATACACTATGATGTGTATGTGAGCTTGTGAGTCGAAGTGAAACTGTTTGTAAAAGAGTCCAGCTTGTAGAGGAATTAAGGTCAATGGGGGCAAAGAAACCTCATAATTCAAATTGTACATGTCCAACCCGGTTTAAATTTAATCTACTTAAAGGAAACAAATCTGATCAATAGATTTAAAGGGATACTCCACTTTTTTTTGGAAATAGGCTAATTTTACAACTCCCTCAGAGATAAACAGTTGGGTTTTACCGTTTTCCAATCCATTCAGCCTATTTTCGGATATCTAATATCGGTAACCAGATTGGTCTGGTTTCTGGTCTCATTGACTTTCATAGTATATTTTTTTCCTACTATGGATTCAAAAACGTAAAACCCAACTGTTTAACTCTGGGGAAGTTGTAAAATGAGCCTATTTCCAAAAAAAGTGGAGTATCCCTTTAAACAACTCCATCCACACAGAAGATTCTACTTTGGCTCCCCCTTATGTCTAAATACGCAAACACACTCTGATTTACGGGCCTATGCATGTTGTAGTTCAATGAGAGTATATAGGCGCTTTTCCACTGCATAGTACGGTACGGTTCGGTTCGGTACGGCTCACTTGTGGTGCTTTTCCACTGCATGGTACGGTACAGTACGGTTCGCTTCGGGTCGCTTTAAATGGTACCTGGTCTGTTGAGGTTCCAAGCGTACCGTACCGGTACTAAAATGTGACGTGAAACACTGCAGATCACTGATTGGTCAGACAGAATCATCACTACCAGCGTCACTACTAGCGTCATTGGATTTGCGACACGAGACACAAGACACTTTTTTAGCAGTATTTTTGTTTTGCTGCCATCAGCCTCATTTTAAACACATTTTTCCGTCTAGCAGTTAAAAACAACCACATACCGAGAATCAGGAACACCATCCCCTCGATAGTCTCCATTGTTCCTGTGTTGTGGGTTTGAAAATGTGGCGCTTTTAAGATGATGTCATGGCAGTAGAGGCGCGCGCAAATAACGATCAGTCCCACACACTTTGAAGGGGTACTACTGCAGTGGAAACGAAAAGCGATCCGAACTGTTCCGCGCCGAGTCGAAGCGTACTGAGCCGAACCGTACCGTACTATGCAGTGGAAAAGCGCCATATTACTATGTGGTGCTCCAGCAGTGTCATGTGTATTAGGAGAAACATCTGAACTGTTCATCATAACAGTACCAAACAATATTGAATGCCAGACTGTTGCATCACTGTTAATGTTTTTTGGATATTAGACTTTGTTTATGTCTCGGTTAATCTATGCAAATATAGATCAAGACCACATTGTGGACCAGTGGATCTAGACAACTTGAATTCTATAAAATATTTAACGTACTAATTAAGATAAAATGCTGTTTTTGTCTTTACTGTTTGTTGAATATGTTATGATGTTTGAACAATAGTGTGAATAAATCATGCTTTGACGACAAAAGAATGAAGAACCATTTACTTAATAAAAACAGTAAAATTAGATACACTTACTACATCAAAATCAGAACTTTATTATACTAAATGCACCTTCACAAAATCCAGACGTTCAGAGTGTAAGAAAATTATTTATATTTTTATTTGATTCACAGCTTATATAGTGTTTTGACCTCGACAACCAAACTGCATTTTACCGCAAACTTTCTAAAGAAGGCGCAATCGCTTGTTTGCCAAGGGGTCAAAATTCTTGTTTTTCCTGGGTCAAAACCAAGCGTCGTGCGATAAACTGCAATACATCGAAAATCCGCTAGAGGCAGGTCCCAAAAGGGGAATTTATTTTAATTGTATTTAGATATAAAATGTGTGACAATTAAGGGCCTGGTTAACTTTGATTGACAGCTGATAACGGGCTGCGCCGAGTGGAATTCCTGAAATTGACGTCTCGGCCATGATCTGACACAAAACATCATACCACCTTTGATCCTTTCTGAACATTTGTATTGAAAATTACCAAGATGGCGCCGCCCATACCCCCCCGTAAATGGCCTCAAAACCGTTCTTCACGAAGTCTATGGGTGACGTCAAAGACGCTTTGTCCATATTTTTCACAGCGTCAAAACTGGTCTTGTAATTTGTAATTTCAAAGCTCGAACAATTCTGAAACTCTTCCTGCACTGATCACATGTGTGTGGCTTTTCTCCAGTGTGGATTTTCACGTGATCCTTAAGGAGGTTTTTTTTTTACAGCTTCTTTTCTGGTGCAGCTTCATTGCACCCTCTGTAAAATAGGCTTTTCCACAAAGCAAGCACATATGATTCTTCACACCACTGTGTCTTATCAGGTGTGATCTTAAACCATTCAGCCATGAAAATCCCTTTCCACAAAAAGAACACACGTGAGGCTTCTGCCCTAAATGAACGTTCATGTGCTGCTTCAGGACATCTGCGCGAGCAAATTTTTTAACGCACTGATTACAGTTAAATGTTTTTACTCCAGAATGATATCGCAGATGTACTCTCAAAGAACATGCCAATCTGAAACTCTTCCCGCATTGATCACATGTGTGCGGCTTCTCTCCAGTGTGGATTGTCATGTGACATTTAAGGGTATTTTTGTGTGTGAAACTCTTCCCGCACTGATCACATGTGTGTGGCTTCTCTCCGGTGTGGATTTTCATGTGTTTATTAAGGGTTCCTTTAAGTGCGAAACTCTTCCCGCACTGATCACACGTGTACGGCTTCTCTCCAGTGTGGATTTTCATGTGTATATTAAGGGTATTTTTGTATGTAAAACTCTTTCCGCACTGATCACATGTGTGTGGTTTCTCTCCAGTGTGGATTTTCATGTGGTCATTAAGTGTATTTTTGTATGTGAAACTGTTCCCGCACTGATCACATGTGTACGGCTTCTCTCCAGTGTGGATTTTCATGTGTATATTAAGGGTACTTTTGTATGTAAAACTCTTCCCGCACTGATCACATGTGTGTGGTTTCTCTCCAGTGTGGATTTTCATGTGGTCATTAAGGGTATTTTTGTGTTTGAAACTCTTCCAGCACTGATCGTATGTGTACTCTCTCACATGCGGCTTCTCTCCAGTGTGGATTTTCATGTGATCTTTAAGACTTTGTTTGTATAGGAAGCTTTTTCCACACTGCGGGCAAGTGAAATTGTTGATGGCTCTTCTCAGCACAAGTTTACTTCCATTCTGTGAGCAACGATTTTCAAAAGATTTTTCTTCAGTTTTGACACAATGTTCCTCCTCCGCTTCATCCAGTTCTTCACTCTTCTTAATCTCGACAGTCAGGTCTAACATAAAAGTAAAAAAAGTTCAAATTTTCAGTAAATCATTATCATCATCAAAAAAAAAAAAAAAGTTCTCTAATGTTGTGAACGAGCCTTAACACTTATTAACACCACAAGTTAAAGTTTGAGTATAAACAAAGACTGGAAAAAAACTCTTCAACTCTCAAAACTTTTAGTAGTAAACAAACATTATTTAATTTTCTGAAGTAAATGCAAGGGATTGTTATGCAGTTGTTCTGGGTGGGTGCATAAAACCTGTCAAAAGACCTCAAACCTCTATGATTTCTGCTCTCTAAATGGTTTGCTTGTTATTTTGTTGTATTGTGCATCATATTGCGTTTGTAATAAAACAATAAGATTGAACCATTCAAAGCTGTTCATATAAAAAATTCTGTTATTTATACAAAGCATCATACAATGTTTTTTAATGTCTCAGTGTTTTGTTTTGGAATAATAAGAAAAAAATATTTATTGTGCTGCAGAAGAATAAATTAATTCTGATTTTTAATGATGAGGGAGAGTAAACTATTTTTTGGGGGAACAATCCCTAAACTGCTAAATAACAGCACTCCAGCACTCAGATACAATCAACTGTGCCATTAACTTAAAATACCTGTACTTTTGATACTAAAGCAGTTTTAACATTAAATAACTGCTAAAGTTTTATAACTTTAAAGTTTCACAGCATCATTAATGAAAAATCGAGAATAAACACCAACCTATCTGTTCTTCAGTGTTCTCAAGCTTCACTCTGAGGGGTTCATCAGGATCACTCCTGTTCTCACTGTAATCTTCAACAGATTCCATTTTTACAGGTTTCTGTTCTTCCTGCTGGTCTGAATCCATCTCTTCACTTATAAATAGTGATAGTTTAAAAAAAAACGTATTCGTGAAATTTCAAATACTTTGCAAATCTTTTGTTTTGAAATCAGCTGTTGTTCAGAGCGTGCGTCCTCTCTTCTTCTGTTTCTGGTTGTATGGTAACCAATGTGCCGTTCCGCCACCCGCTGGTCTGGAGTGTGAAGAGCGTACAACTTAAAGGGATAGTTCACCCCAAATTGAAAATTCTTTCATTTACTCACCCTGAAGTTGTTCCAAACCTCTTTGTGTTTATTTGATCTGCTGAACACAAAGGAAGATATTTGAAAGAATGTTTTAATCAAACAGATCTCATTCCCCATTGACTACCATATTTAGTCAATGGGGAATGAGATCTGTTTGATTAAAACATTCTTCCAAAAACTTTTATGTTTTATTAATCTCGTTCATGTTACTTTCTCTCTCTCTTTCTGTATATGTCTGTATATATGTATTTCATTTTAATTCTTGATAATTTTCACTTATTTTTAAGTCTTATCAGTTTAAACATTCAAGCTGAGAGAGTTTATGGCTGAAACTCTCAGCCATAAAGACTTTCGAGAGGAGCGGATGTGTGCGTGTCATTCAGAACACAAAACAAGAGTGTTCTTGTAAAACAGAACATGGCAAAATAATCGTTTTTACTCTTTTTACTATTTTGATGATAGTTGGGAGCCAATATCGAAACTGAAATTCAAATAATTTCACAGCCCAAGTCTAAAGTCTAAATTTCATGCACATTTTCTTTTCTTTAATACTGAAGTACTTGGATTTTAGAGTACTTGACTTCTTAATTACTCAAAATTCCCATCTTCACACTTTCATTAATGTGCTCACCAAATAGATGGGTTTCAGTCACGTGATTATGGTGATGCGCGGAATTCAGATGGAATCCATATACTGTACTACTTTACACGCTTTTACAAGATAAAACTATAAACAAAAAATCAAACATATATTGGACGTGATCCTTACGTGGTTTTGAAGAGGAGAATTGAAATATTTTCGTAGATCTATCTACGAATATAGATATATAGATATATATATATATATAGATATACGAATATACGATATAGATATCTATGTCAGCAACTACCTCGTTTTACAGACAAACTTTAAGTTAGGAAACTTTACACGTTACACAAACATAGCCACTTAAGTTGTATTAACTGACCTTTGACGAAGTGATCACTAACAGTTACACACACAGGCATTTTCCAATTCGGCTCCTCCCGACTGCAGACGTAGGTTTGCAAGCCGTTTTTCCAGAATTTTTCGGTCTATTTCTTGCATTTTCCCCCTTATGAACAACAACTTTTGGTACACGATAAAAACTCCTTATGGTTTAACGTGCATCCATTTACACCACAACCATAAACGACGCAAAACACATAGTGCTTTCTGAATTCAGCAATATGCCACCACTCAAAACGTAGGTGTTGAGCCCAATTCTGACCCCAGTCAGATTATGTCTGAAACTCCAATGATTAACAGTGTGTGGTCTGGTATTACT